TCGGAGGCAAAATGAGCAAGAACGCTCATTTGTACATCATTCTAGACAGAAATAAATGGCCTTTTTAGAAAGTGAACCATCGATAAGGAAATGTTGGCAGCTTTCTCAAAAAATGCTTGAATTCAAGAAGTTTTAGATTTGCGTGATTTTTTTTGAATTGCAAAATCCACTTGAACATGACGTTGCTTTTTTCGAAGTTTCTCAAGAACCATTCGAGCCACAGAATTCGTTTTGGCATCGTTGGATAGAGAATTGAATGGGGGGGTCATGGGGGTGATGACCCTATGATCCCCACTGGATCCACCCTTGCGCGTAACATAAAATGCGGAAACATTTGCGTTCGTCCAATGGTCCCCATGCAAAACTGTACAGTTTTAACTGTAAGGAAGCACAGATGGGCGTATTCTGAATATCAGTGGGGGAAACCTAAAGATGCCAAAACATTGTGGAAGGTTATTTAAATAAAACGTTAAAGACTTGTTTCCAAGCCCACGGCAGTTTATAAACATTCATACATATTTACAAAGTTCTCTAAGCTTGATTGAGTACAAAAATGGCTCACCCCTGCTCTGCCCATGTTAACGCTAATATCACAATGGTCCTGGTCGCTCTCAAAATAAAAGTTTAGATAACGGTTATTCCAAACATGCAGGAAAACCCAATAAACACCGAGGCACATTGTCGTAAGCCGGTTTTCCTCTCGTTTTGCAAAATTTCAAAAAACACCACATAGAGCAGGGTGCCAGAGGCTATCCCTTGAAGGAACACTGATATCACGTCGGCTACGCTCACCTCCAAATTGCTGATGGCCATGCCGATGCCTATCCCCAAAGGGCTGACTACCGCGAAAGTGAACACATACGTTACAACCAAGAACGTTTTCATTTGGGACGCCACTAACTCCACCCCTATACAAAAAGCTATAACTAGCTTATGAGCAGCCACTGCTCCAAACATGTACCACACGTTTCCTGATCCCGACTCCAAACCGACTGCCAGTCCCTCGAACAGTTCATGCACGGATAGAGCCAGCACTATGAGCAAACCTCTGATGGCTTTCACTGTTGAGTCGATCTCATCCTGCATTATGTGGGTGTGATGGTGCCCATCGTGGTGGTGAACGTGAACTTCATTCAGCTTTGGCTCGTGAGCCAGAGATGTTCTAGGAGTAACATCGCCTCGACGGATTGATAGGGTTCGCATCAGAGTGGAGGCTTCGCTCTTAGTTTCTCGACTAATCAATTAATAACCAGGATTTAATTGAATTTGAGGTTTCATTCTACTGGCACTTACTGATGCAGATAAACGTGCACGCACTCTTCGACGAAATACATCACAAAGAAGCCGATGCACATCAGGAGTTCTGCATAGTGGATTTCCAGGTCGGGTGTGTAGTTTAAATCTTCAAAGGTTTCTGCTACTTCGGGTAGTAGGTGAAGGAAGGTAGTGCAGAGCAAGACGCCTCCACCGAAGCCTAGATAATGCTTTTTTATAGGAAATAAAGGGAAATTTACACGGCAGGCGAGTCTAGTAAAGTGTTGGTAGATAAGAAAACTCATGAATTAATGCTTTTTTAATATTCCGATTTAATTGAGGAATTAAAAAAAATTGTTTTTTTGGAACATTTGTACTGCAAATTTGTTCCGACCTGAGACTCATGTTTTAGTGCAGAGTTCGCCTCCTTTCTCTTTGGGCAAATGGTAGATTCTCGAGTGCCCAAGGGCGGATCAAGGGGGGGTCATGGGGGTCATGACCCCCCCATTCCATTCTCTATCCAACGATGCCAAAACGAATTCTGTGTCTCGAATGGTTCTTGAGAAACTTCCAAAAAAGCAGCGTCATGTTCAAGTAGATTTTGCAACTCAAAAAAAAACCACTTAAATCTAAAACTTCTTGAATTCAAGCATTTTTTTAAAGAAAACTGACAACATTTCCCCATCCATGGTTCACTTTCTAAAAAGGCCATTTATTTCTGTTTAGAATGATGTACAAATGAGGGTTCTTGCTCATTTTGCCTCCG